TAATATATATATATATATATATATATTTATATATATTAATATGTATATTTATATATAATCATATATATAACTCATTATATATAATCATATATAATCACTTCATATATAATTATGTATTTTTATATATAAATATTTTATATATGACGCCTTATACATACATAGTTATATGTGGAAAATTAATACAAAATAATCTCTTGGGCAGTAAATTGAAACAGATACCTTCTTTATATCAGGTTGTTAAGAAGAAATTATCATAATATCGCGGAGAAAATATCGAAGTATTATTGGTGCGATCAGAGGAGATAGAAATGAATATGAGAGAAATGTGTGTTTTGTACTTATTTAAAAAAATTTCTTAGAGAACGGTGCCCCAAACATACGGTGATGGATTCCTCGGAGATGTGGAAGTTGGAAACCACCGAACGGAAGAAATCATTTTGTACCGAGTCATCGTATTTAACAATCCGACGAATGACATTCAGAGCGGCAGTGTGCAGTTTTCCCATAAAGGTAAAGCAAATTTGCATAACAGAAATTTCTACTTTCTAAAGTACAATCAGTGTATTATTACGAAGGAGCAGTCAATAGTTATTAGCAGGGTTGGGCAAAATAACTTAAGTTAGAAGTTAGTTGATGCAAGACTATATATATAAATCTAACCTAACATATTCTTTTCTCTCTCTCTCTCTCTCTCTCTTTCTTTCTATATTTATATATATATATATATATATATATATATATATAATAGTTTTTCACAATTAAATTTCATAATAATAGTTTTTCATAATTAAATTTCATAATAATAGTTTTTCATAATTAAATTTTAACTTCGATAAATTAATTCTAACTCAACTTTTAATTGGTTAGTTTTTGTTACGTCTAAGCGAGAGAATTTCTACTGAAATGAGTGAATATTCACTGATTATCGGTAGAATATTGTTTCACTAATTTCGTTAGTGACATTATTACTGATTCAATTTAAAAGAGCATGTAATTTAAATCATATGCATGCGTCCGAATTCCAGAGAATATACAATTATTTATTACATCATACTCTGAATGTATATAAAATTTTACATTTACGAAATCTTAATAAAATATCAGGCGACGATTTAAGAGGTAGTTGTTGGCAATTATGAGTTTGATTATTCGTTTGTGCAGGAATCTCCCATTATCTTTCCGTTGTAAATCAATCAGGCAGTCAGGCGATAGTGTGCAACAATCCGGACTCTTTGGGTACATCCAAAGTCAGGCTAAATATCCGCGTCCATCCCAACACGGACTCCACTCTCGATCTAATTTTAGCATCACATTAAAGCATGTGACAGAAAAATCTTTCTTTTATTTCTTACTGCCGTACAGGCCATTATAGAAATCAATAGCGAGCTAAATAGCGCGGACACTACCGATATGTGTAAGAAAATCTGATTTAACAATATGACTATTCCGACGATAAGTTTCTCTCAATGCAAAATTAATATTGTCGACACAATTTTATAAGGAGAAAGTTAATAATGTTTGTTACGACGTCTTTAACTTCTATAAAAAATGATGAAAGAAAATTCTTTATTTTTCTTAAAAACCTTTGTTATCAACCGTGATAAGAAATGTTTATATATATACGATTGTGCAGTGCTAAGAAAAAACAAAATCTTCATTGTCTTCGTAAGAATCTTCATAGATGAAGTCGCCGTTACCACAATTCGTTCACAATGTACGTCAGGAAAAATTGTTCTCTAGTTTGTATTAGCTTGCGTATACGTAGTAATTCATCTAGACCTTCGTTAAAATGTCCCCTTGTATTCCCACTGATTGAATGTAAAATAAAGCTATACTGATTCATCGTTGAGCAATCGTGTGCGTTAATGCCCCAGTTCTCCTAGATGACCATGTAAAAATAGTTCATAAAAGAGCGAAGTGTGATTAATATTGCGCAACACAGGCACCGGGATAATTCTGCAGGCGGCTCACGTACAGCAAGCGCACAATACGCACGTGAACATCTGCCACGCGTGCCAAATGCAAGTTTCATGAATGCCATTTTCGTGGCGTCACGCCGCGGTGTAAGCATTTTTCCGCGCCCGCAAACAATAGCGATTCACAAGACGATCTGCGTACGTAGCGAGGGAAAGAGAGAGAGATTACTCGACGCATAACAAATATTATCATTACCGATGTGCCTCACCAACGTACAGGACATATTTCACTTCAAGTTTTATGATCGTGCGCGCGCGTCTCGAAAGATGTTAGAGAGAAAGAGATACATCGAGCGTTTTCCGCGAAAGAGAAAATGTTTCGACGGTCAAATTGACTTAGTTCTAAATGGAAACAGCGTTCTCTCTTTCACTCGTAACATTTTGTCTATTTTTAAGGACCTCAAGGTCCAAGAATTTTGGGTGCATCTTCTAAGCGGAAATCGTCGTAAAATCGTGACGAACAACGTCGTAAAATCGTGACGAACAACGTCGTAAAATCTATTTTGTTCACTTATCCTGCCGATGAGTCCGTGAGCAAACAAGTTAAGGACTGGATAAAATCGCATTCCGAATTCCGCCATCCCCAACATCCCGCTGAACCAGCTCATTAATGCGTCATCACGAATTTCCTCTCGAGAGCCGTTGTTTTATTTGCCGCGTCGACATGCAAAACAGATATCTCGTCGCGAAACGACGTTCCTATTTCTCTTTTTCGCGGCTGCGTGTAATTTAAGGATCATTTGCATTTGATAATTACAGCTGGGGTTCGATCTTTCCCCCTCGAAAAACGGAAAAACGAGAAGTCTCAACTTTTTTTTTCCATATCTTTTTCTATAAACAGCAATTCAATTTATTTGGACGAAGAATTCGATTTTGAGAACGAAAATCTCGTCGACGTGCTCGACGAGTGAGACACCCGATAAGTTTTATTTCAAGATAAGTTTTGTGCGCCATTTTTTTTAAGTAGTGATACGATATCTACTTCGTTTAGCGCATTCGTTATCGATCTTGTCGACCTTGTTGTCGTGTCTTAATCAATAAAGAGGTATTGAGGTATTTCACATTGATCAACATAAAACTTCAAAGCTTACTTTTTATCACGTGGAATTTAATAAATAAATTATGATCCTCAATTGCGCAGTTGAATTCTCTGACGTATTAGTACAATAATATTCTACGATACTGATATGTGTTGATTAAGTATTAGTTGAGATTTTATCGTAAAGAATGTATCCGAAATGTGATAACGGTATGAACTCGAAGATTTTTTCCTCGGCGAAATCGCAACTCACCGCACAAATAGACTCTCCAAGAGTAAATTATCCTCTCTTACTGACGATGAGCCGGTTTTCCTGTTCTTTGACGGGTTCTTCGGTTCGAAATTAACTTTCGATATTCGCGCGCCCGCCTGAGGGAAGCGCGCCCGCTAATTGCATCGGCCGATAAAGATAAAGCGCGACTTTTCTATGAGATGAACGTCATGAATGTGCTGTCACGCCGGAGATTGCTGACCGAGAAAATTAAATTGGACTTTAGCCCCGTCGTACACCGATAAAAGTGTCTATGATTTAATTATTTGCCTCTCGTAAGTTTCTCGTAAGTCACAGACAGATCTTAAGGGAACACTGGACCTTTGAACACGCGGGAAGATCGATGCGGTAAATCACTTGTCATCAATTACTTGACAATACATAAGGAAATTTATGTTTTAATAATAGTTTGTATATGTTTTTAAGGAAAGAATGAGATATTTAAAGCTCCAAAGAATCTTGTTTATTATGAAATATGCAGTGGTGAAGAAAGGATTCTCTTTTGGTTTTACCACGATTTTGCAGTCCTGTCGGAAAATTTTGAAATACGGCAAGTGGCATTCTCTTCCTGAATACATTTTTTATCGATTAAACTTCTGAAACAGGAAAAATAACATTTATTGATACTGGCGCTCTAAAAACCATATTTCTTCGGAATTGTTTATCTTTCTGCCTATTTTTTGAAATAAATGCAGTTTTTTGGCAACGTTTAAATTTGATATATACAGAATCTAATTAGAAGTATATCAAGAATAAAATTATTCTGATATATCTCTTTTTGTTCTTGAGAAATCGTGATAAAACTGATGGAAAAACATAGTTTTCGAACGATAATACGTTCAAGGTTTCATAACAGATTTTCAATATAACAAAATGCGTTTACGACTCAAAACTGTCCTGGAACGTAAAATGCGAATCTGATGGCCGCACTTAATTGTGCCAAATGATCGGTTACTTATGCCGTACAGCAAACACGAACTCGCCAAGCCTCATCGCTCCGTTCCCTTTAATATCAATCAAAACGGAGAACTCGCGACTGTCGGTAAAGTGTTTAAACACCTACATCGACGTAAGGATCCTTAAGGAAGCAGCGATAAAGTTTGTGCCGTTGACGAAACGTAATTACGGCGAATTCTAACGAGACTGTCGGCGATGCTCTTGGGTGAATGGAAGGAAAATAACGCTTTTAGGATTATAATGAAAACTGCCATAAACTCGTAGACTCTTCCGCCCTTCCACCGACCTTCGATTCTGCCCTAATTGCGCCATTCGGTTCGCTTCCTTTTCACCGTTTATTATATCCGATACAGACAGAATTTCTTTCTTTACTCCCATTAAAATGTGAAAAGGTGCGAGACAATCCCGAAAATAGCGTCGGAAACACAAGAAGAATAAGTTATTCAGCAACTGGCGATAAAAATTGAGAAAAATTCGCAATAGAGACAGAGAGAAAGAGAATACGCTTAGCGTATTACTCGCTCGGATCGGCGGAAAGTCCACGGCCGATCCTGCGTTGAATAATTCAAGTGAAATGCTACTCGAGACGTAAGGTTCCGAGTACGTCGGGCGATAAACCGGGAGCGTGCCGATAATTAAACACAGCTACGAAAATTCCCGAGCAAAATTGCCGGGCATTTTTCGAAAGAGCGGCGAAAGAGTTTGCATATTGCGCCGAACGACATAATTCGAGCAGTGGATTTTGAGCGATTTTATTTCGCCGCGATATCGAACAAGCCCGTCCGATGAAGCCGCCTCTCGAAGAGCAATTTGCTTAAAACGCGCGGCCCCACTACTTTTCCGCGACTAAGAGCGCGGTCTAATAATCCCGAAGGTATTGTGATTCGCAAGCGTAATTGCACGACGTTTCCGATTGCGATAATCCTCCGGTAGCTGAAAGCTCGTCGCCGACTTTGCGCGAGTCGTTGCAATAATATTTCTCACCGCGATTAGAGCGCCGAGAGGGAAGAGGAAAAGCGGCATGGTTCAACGATTGATTTTTTTTAACCGGGGAGAAGCCACGAGTGACGAAGTTCGACATCATCCCTTTAGAAAATTCCCTTCGTAGAGATATTCCCACGAGAGTATTGCTATGACTGACTTTTTTTCAATCGCGCACTTGTAGAACCCGAGCCGAAATTTTGACGCTGTTCTGACGTTCTTAAGTATAGTTTGCACCTATTTAGATGACCTACTAGAAAAAACCTTCTTTGACGATATTACATTTGTTAAGTTTCCTCCTATCTTGAATTCTACAGACTTAATGTTACCTTAAAACTATAAATACTCTCGATATTTTGGTTATTAAATTTGTACGAGTACTCAAAACAACATATTTTGTTTATTTTATTTATATAGCAATATTGAGAGTTTGCATCATTGTTGAGATATCTAGTTCGATCATTCCATTTGCACCGGCATTAATCAACAAATTTCGTATCATCAATTGTATTCTTTTTAAATGCTAATTTTTTGTACTTATATTTATACGTTGAAACAGAAAGTGACAATAGAAAAAAATTACTTAGCTATAGTCTACGAAACACAAGTTATATTTTAATTTTTATAAATTAATAATACAGGTTAATAAGTGATAAGTAAGTTAATAAGTGATAAGTAAGAGGGCAAAAACGTATTTTTACTATAACCTTTTATTTTTATGTTTTATACTGTCGGAAAAGCTGAAATTCCTTTTAAATGTTATTAAGTCTCTTTTAATAGTCTTGAAATAAAGAATGTTACAACGAAAAAATATAAATAGTTTTTATTTTCCTACAAAAAATTAAAACACATTTCTTATTGACTATCAACTTTCACAAGGCTGTCGTACATACCATCTCAAAGTAAAAAAAATATCTTTAAAGGAATGATTTTGAAGATATTCCCCGTTCTCTCCATATTATGAAAGCCTCAAATATCAAATTTTCATTTGATTGCTGTTTACTATGTAATAGAAATTAGAGCTAAGTCTCGATTGTTACATCTGCGATTAACACAAAATTAATTAGAACTGACGGTTTAGAACCGGGATAGAATATTTGTGTCGCATATAATCATCTACATTATTAGTCATCTAAGTTGTCAGCGATTACATGAACACGTTCGACGTTGCGTGAGGAATTCGCGCGGAATCCCGATATCATTAGGTGATATCCTATGGGAAACGCGAGATGGATTTAGTCGAATTATCCCGCGTAATGTAACTCGGTCCAGTTTACATCAGTGAGCGCGGTACAGTGCTCCCGAGAGAGATCCCGCACCATCTTACGGGGAGCTATCTGGAAATTCCACAACAAAACGGCGTTCCTTGACCGTTAGGGAAGCTCCTACCCTATCGGGAGTTTTCCGCGCCGTAAGCGGTAAGAGAGAGAGTGTGTGTCGCATCGGGGACGCAGAAATGGCCCGACACCATGTAATCCGGTAGAACCTTTCTGAAGAGCCGTAATACCCCGTATAGTCGCAGTATTACTTACTCCGACTACAAGTTCACCATGGTAGCTCGGCGAGCTTCTATTTGCACCACGTTACATGGGAGCTACGTGGGAACCCGGAAAAAATGGAACGACGGCCAGCGGTGTTGTACCGGTTGGTGCCGCCGATGTCATCCATCGTTTCATTTAACAATCGTTTCGTATTTCCGCTCCGAGTTTCTCTTTGTCTGTATGATATAATATCAGTATGTGAGAGACAGCGGTTGGGATTTTTATTAAAATTAAAATCCACATTCCACAAGAATTCGCGTTTGATAACGGATTCTTAATTTTGTTTTAAATAACGAGCGGGTCGACGGCGCAGCCACTTTGAAACATATATCGAACATCGATGCTTTATGGCGACGAAGGTAATACTTTCCGGGAAAATTGCATCGGGCATGCCGGATCGTCACTCGGAAATGCACCCATGATCCTTTGGCATTATCGGCGAAACGAAGTACCGGATAACCGTGTTACGAGTCAATCTCTCCGCCAAGAATAAGCAAGTCCCCGGAGGCTTTGATAGAGATAGTAGTAGTAGTAGTGCTTATTCCGGTCGCGGAACATTCGACGAATTTCGTTCCATTCTATTTCGTTCTTTTAACTTTAATTTTCGCGAAATCTTTGTCTACAACTCGTAACTGATTTATGATGCAGTTTGATGTGATGTGAACATAAAACTTGTATATTTCAATACAGTGCTCCTTGTTCGCGAATCCGATATACGAAAAACCGAACTCATGCGGATCGTCCGAGAAAATTATTTATTTCCTGCGATGACCGCGATTCAAGTTAGAATTTATTTAACATTCAGTTTTCTTAAACAGTTGCGATGAAACTGCTCATTTTTACGCGCATCCTCTTTATTTCCGTTTAAGCACAGGGGTTTATTTTCGGGACATCTCAATGCAAATCCGTTTCCGATATCTCTTCGAGAGGAAATTATATTTACACCGGCGGTTGCTCACATTGTAGTCGGCATCGTGCTATTTATACACGGATATAAACGCGGAAAAGCGTATCTTTACTGCTCATGATTTTAGACAGTTCTTGCGATTAATCGAATTTCTTCATGGAGCGCCACATGCGGAAACGTGGGTGTGATTCTATCGATCGGAAGATGACAACGTCGAACTTCACCGCACTCGTTGCTGATTTATTAAGCCGGCCAAGGCTAGTCATTAGATTTTGCATCTAACCACAAAATAATCGTTTAGATCGGAATCGCTCGCTTACCCGATTGACATAGACATGGAGAAGAAGACGAAAACTCGTTAGATTTCTCTCCTATATCCGAACTATATAACATATTTTTTGCAGCAATTTCGGGCTTTCCAATTAAAGTTTTCAATAGTAGCAAAAGTCATTGTGTTTCTAAAGGTTTCCTCTATAGAATGAATTAGGAAAAAAAAACCCGGTAAAGATTAATCAAAAGTGGCAGCAAAAAGCGAAAACTTGCTGAATGTTTTGTATTGCAGTAACTTTTAAATAAATAACATTTTTCGACCGGAGTTTAGTTAGTTCTGTGGAAGATTTAATGCTCTTTAATTGAAAAAAATAATATCTCGATATTTTCATTCGTCCTTGAGTTATCGCTGCGAAAGCATGAAAAAATCTAGTGTTGAGAAAAACGCATATAAAGTTTTGGTACTAATTTTCAGGATAATGTATGTTATTTGCATCAATTAGAAACTGTTTGAGCTATAAAATGAGGTTTCTAGTTTAGCTTCTTGTTCAGCTGCAGCAGCTGCTCGCTTTTTTTGCAATCTCGGCCTCTTTCGTTGCGGAAAGTGCATTGATCTCCGCTTTCTTGAGACGGTACTCGTCAACCGTTTCGCACATTTTGACTGCACGAAGTACACCCTCTATCGATAAGTTTCCCATTAAATCAAGATATTGCATTTTCATCATGAAATATTGCTTCAACTACGTAATAAACTCTCATTATCATTTTGATTGTAATAACCGGTACATATATTGGTTCACATTTTTTACTCTCCTAAACTTAATTTTTAGAATTATTGAATTCTAGTAAACGAATAAACACACACACATAGACACATTCCTAAAGAATCACGCTATATGAAAATGCAAAAAAATTAAAAATCGATTTTTTCGAAATTTTAAATCTTATCCCTTTAAGTAAAGAACGGAAAGGTAAAAGATTTATTTATTATATAGAACTGGCCAGCGAAAAGTACAATGCATTCAGGATCCAAATTCCGCCGACTTTTATGGCAACATAATTCTATGTTACACGCAAGAATATAATACAGCGGGTCGTGAGAGTCGTGTAATATTGAATTTACCAGACACTTCGGAATGCCGTCACGCGCTCTGCGAGCTTTGGAGAACCCCCGGCACTGCCGCGAAATCTTATAATGAGCTTAGCAAGCAAGGAAGCCTTATATCAGCATGCCCTGCGGCAAAGTAAATGCGAAAAGCGGCAAACCGTCGGTGGCAGTTGTTGCGTGCGTCACGTCGCGCGGATCTTACGTGTTAAAAACCGCCTTAGAGAAAAAAAAAAGGAAGAACAACGCGAACTGTTTTTGGAATTGATGGCGATTCGATCAATTCACACGATTGCGGTTTGTTAAAAAAGAGAGAGAAAAGGAGAGCGAAAAAGATCGACATACTGCGGTGAGTCTCTCGATTATATCATAAAGAATCGAATGAAAAAAATAATTTCTTATTACAAAATCTGACTTATTTCTCACTGAGAAATAAATTAAGAGAATGTAAAATCTTTTCATTGCATTCTGTTATGTCAGGTTAAACCTCAAATTTGGCCGATCGAAAAGCCCTTTGCTGAAGTTGAGTTTAATCCATTTAATGAAAATTAAACATTTTTCAGCGCGCATATTGGTAATTTCGCAAATTAGCGCTTAATAAACTAACCCGCGAACGTCAAATCACATCGCTACCGCCGATTTCACCTTAAAGCCGGTAAAGTCACGACATGAAGTACACTCTCCTACCTCCTGAATCCGCCTCTTCAATTATAACCGATCAAATATTTGGCAAGGTTTGGGACCGAGACGCAGTAGCGATGCGATGATAGCTGGTATTTACCAACTGCGGCGCGCGGTGCGTAAAAGCAACGATAGATTAAACTTTCGCAACTACGCGCACAATGGAATGATTCGATCTACGGTGGAGACCTCTGCGAATGAGGGCTCGCCGGACATATCGTCCTCCATAGAAATGATCGTGCGCAGCTCCAGGCTGTCCTTCGCCGATAAACCGCCCCGTCGTTCCGCAATTTCCTCGTTCACTGACCGCAAGCTCTCTCCGATCTCGCGTTTTGCGTCACTTCGCCGCGTATAATTGCCTTTTTTTCGATAAACGACTCGGAATTGCCCGAGATTGAGTTAACGCAAGAGAGGAAGGGAGAGAGAGAGAGAGAGATACGGTGAGAATGCAAACGGATTCAAAGGTTACGTCGTGCGAGATGAAGAGAATGATTCGGCAAAGTTACATTCGCGCCGGTGGCGCGTAGATAATTCATAGTTTCAATAATTTATCGCTCGTTGCGTTTGAAATAAGTGTTCCCGCGGGAGAATTGAGGAGCGGACGAGCCTACGGTATGTCAGGACAATCTTGCGATTGAACGGAATAGCATATTTCGCTTGAAACAGGCAAATTCAGACGGGCATCGAGAGAATTGCATTTCGTTTCTCGTTGGTACCGTTACACGGTGCTATCAACTAGTCCCCATTTACGTGCGCGTATCGTTTTCGATAACGGACGAAGCGCCGGCCGATGCGAATAGGAATAATGACCGAGCCGACTTTTCTAACTGGGACTGTTTGACGGACGACTTCGGAAGTGGAGCATCGTACAAGCGTTGTACTGTTACCTCGTAGTGACCAACTTTCCGTTCGTGACGTACCGAACCGGTTTAATTATAGGACGAGCAATTATGCAACTATCGCTAACAATCGACCCTTCGCCGGACGTCGCGCAGCTTGATCTTTCTTTGCGATGCTCTCCCGTGCGTTGAGTTTTGCTCTCACCGGGATTACTTTGTCACGTGCTTAGCATCGTATAATATTTAACCATGAATATGTTATCGTGTTATAAATCAAATTGCTGGTCAGTATAAAAGAAAAGCACCGAAACCGACATATCATTTTGTTTTAGGATTCTGATGTTTTGTGGAAAGTGTAAATTATGCGCCTGGATATAAATTAACATTTCTGTAAGAAAATATATGATAGTTTTGGATCTTGTGCCAATCTGCATCCTAGACCCAAGATGGAAATTATTCCACATTTCCTTGCTAATAAATGTTTTTTAAAGGTGTATGAGAATTAATTTCGAGAAGCCAAGCTTTAACTGTATGTGTAGCTTCAACTGTATTCTGTGAAATGATATTTCACAACAAAGGTATGTCAGTTTACAGAACCTAACTCTAATTTTCTCGCGTGTTTCAGTGAAAGGATGCAGATTGGCACAAGATCCAAAGTGATTTAAAAAGTTCCAAACTTACACTACAATGTTTAAACACTGTCAAATAAGTTATTTTCTACTGATTTGTTATTCTAATTCTTACGAGGAAATAGCTCAACAAATACTTCGGCACAACGAAAAATCAAACGACGCTAATAATACAAATAAATCGGATTTACGCGCTTACAAACGAAAATTGCCACTTCAGCTTCAATTATTATACACAGCAGACAAAATTCATGTTCCGTTCGACAGAGTTCAGTATTTTATAACCGAGAAACATAGGTTTACCGTACTTATATCAGTTTCAGTGCTATTTCTCTAATTCTATTTTTTTTTTGGCTTGAATGGTATCCTTGCGATATCGACGTGCTGTTTTCACCGCTTCACACGATCTCGTACAGTTTCATCACTTACAGTGTGAACTACTTTTATCAGCCCTTTGCTTACCATGATGAAGCACACGATGATACTTCGTATAGCACTTGTGAGAGGTACAAATCAGTCATCCGTCGGCTTTCCCCGTATCTATCGGCACAACCTTTATAAAGGCGTCGATGGGAGGACGGATTCAATTACAATCGAACGTCGGCCTTAATGCGCCCCAACTTGAGATTTTCTACCGTCCGTCGGTCCGTTCGTTCGCGAGCCATCGGAGCCGCTATTATTCGTCATTGGAGTGTGAACAATGGAGCAAAATTTTGGTAACTAGCCAGTCACCGGGAGAGACGAAGCGAGGGACTGTTGATGAAAGGGTGAGACAGGGGGCGGGGGAGATAGAGCATTGTACAGAGAAACGGTCGGTGAAGGCTGCTCCCCGTCGATAACGATTCCGCTACTCCTCCTCGTGATTTACTCGCTGCGCGATACCGTGAACTTTGATCTGCCCCGGGATCTATATAATTCTATTCGTCCGTATCCTCTCTCCGCGTTCGTAGAAGGCGAGATGCAAACAAGAAGACGCTAAAGCTGGTTCGGTGCCACGAGATCCGATGGATTAGCTTCGATTCGCACGCTTAGCAACTGACGCGTGCAACCATCTTCAAAGTCCCTCTCTCGTGACGATTGTCAATGCACCTATATTTTTTATTCTTTCCACGTTTTCGTTCTCGATCGTCCAACGAATAATCGCTGATTATATCGCATGATCGTGAACTCCCATCATTTCGTACGGTGTAGCGTGGAGAGAATGCCATGAGATGCACATCCGTCCATCGTGATCAAGTTTATAGAGGCACACCCAAAGGCGTGTCCTCGCGATGTTCAACGTTGAAATTGATACTTGCAGATGATTGCTGCATGGCCATTATGAAGGGACGCGGAAGCAATGGGAATAAGTGCGATAAGAGTCGTCAGGACGGAAGCAACGCGACGGAGAAAACGGGAAATCTGAGCGACGACGAAAATCAAGGCTTCGCGAGCTGGCTGCGCTCCAGCACCGGTGTCGAGATGATGCGGCTCTTTGTGATCGCGAATTCGATTCTGGTGTTCGTAACTATGGCTTGGCCGAACATGAAGGAGTCTTTTTATATCATTAGGGACTACCTCATGGGGGAAGAGGAGTAAATTGACCGACCGAGATTATGATTTGAACTCACTGAAAGAATCTACTCGTAATTAAATATTTATTAATTTATCGAACAATCACTGAGATATAATTAAGGGATGGTATTACATAAATTTCATTAGTTTGGAAAAAATAAGAGTATCCTTCTTGTGTTATTTAATCACAATCATCGCAATATTTACACACCTCTGAAAGCCGGCTTTATTTCCGGTGTCTTTGATTAATCTCGAGTGAAGCACTTATCAGTATGTGTCGGTTTTCGCATTAGCGCCGAAACTGATAACGAAGCAGGACCGATAGATTGCGAATAGATGCCGAAACTGATAACAGATGACTTTCACAGACATCGCCGTCGCCGTGGCGTCGCTTGTTGCCAATGTCCGCGTAAAAACGCAAAACGTTGGTACGACGAGATCGATGCGCAACGAGGGGCGACAAATGGGAATATAACCGTCGGCTTTCAGAACTTTTAATATCCGTGCAAAAGCGGACAGACGTTTGACAGAAGTTTTTTTTACGCGGCATTTGAAAGTCAGATGCATCGCGGATCGCGATATTTGTGCAAGATAAAGCCGGAAGTTCTCTTGCTCGAAAGTTTTCCGTCGTGTAGAAGCGAATGAATAACCTTCGATGGTGCCGTGAGATTTGAATGCCCGATTTAAGTATTAGGAACCCGTTTGACGAGAGCGCACGACTCTCTCGGAATAAGATCTTCCGCAGCGAACCCCGTCGATCTTACCGGACAGTCAAGTTTATCGCACGAGATGCGATAAACCTACTTAGCGAATATATTGATCCGATATTGACGTGCAATTATATTTCACGACATCCTCTTTCATTAATTGACCGCGTCGTCATGTTAGCGTTCGCCGTTCGCGGGGTGGTCTTGCTCGGTGTGCTGAGCTGGTATAGCGCCACCATGTGGAGAATGATCGACGGTTACTTCAAGGACCAGTTCCGGACGTATTTGCAGGAGGAGTATCGCAAGTACCCGCGGTTGCGGCCGGTCGATAAGGTGTCGAGAGCGTTGCCAACCGAGCCGAGCCACGACGCGTCGGTCTGCCCGGCCGACACGGCAGACACCTGTCCGCGCGTGATCGCGGCGGCGGTGGTGGAAGAAGTGACAGGTGGTAGCAGTGAAAACGCCGCTGTTCCCACCGATAAAAATGCATTCCCGACCCGAGCGGTGCTGGAAAGTAGGAAGCCACCGACGGGCGGCAGCGACACGACGCATGAACGGCGATCAGGTGCCGCCAATCAGGAAGACTACGAAGAGCAGGCGACCGCGCGTCCCGCGGATGTCGATTTCGACGGATACAACGATTTCTCGGAGTTCGAGGACGTCGAGGAAACGAGGACCCCCGCAGAGGGGATCCTCGTCTCGGAGCTGCCGTTCAAGCCTAAGGCGGACATCGGCGGCTTGGATAGGATCACCGCGGAAGAGTTCTGTCCTTTGACCTTGGAGGACGAGGCTTCCTGCGGAGAAAGCACCGCGTGGCCGTGATTACGCCCGATGGGACTGAAAGTACCCGGGAAAAAACTTATGCGCCAACAGCGGGGTCCTTAAGGACACGCTGAGAGAGATGAGGCGGAGGATTGCGACTATTATTAGAATAAATCTGTTCAACCAGTTCCACAGGCTCGCTTAGGGACACTGACGGATAGATCCTGCGCTTTCAGATACTTCGGTGTGTGAGTTCTGTCGAGTTGTTCCACCTGGCCTCCGGTTTACGCTGAATGGAACGAAATAACATGATTTGATCGTGACTTTAGCAGTTTTATGCACCGCTGTTACTTCTGTTAGGTAGATTGAGTCTTGATTAAGTAGTCTTATATATACTCGTATTAATATTTTATTCTTTACGTTATAAAGATGAAGATGTGATGATGCGTGAAGATAGGAATATATAAAGATGTAATATTTATTATATAGATACTGAAAGAAAAATGTATGATATTTGGAGCTATAATGGCAAATGAAAAAATTTATAGTCAAGAAAATCATAAATAATATAGCGAATGTTACTATATATAATATAATAAATATTGCTATAAGTTATTATTACAATATAGATATGTAAATTTTTTACTATAAATTATAATGATTTCAAATATAATTACAGTAAAGTAGCAAATATACGGTAAAAAACATTTTACACTGCTGTTAAAACCGGTCTTTGTTAAAATTTTTGCGTTGAATTTTTCACACACCCATCTACAAAACGTCTAAGCGACGTCTTTGAAAAGTCTTTTGGACATACATGTTGTGTGAGATATGTAACAACATTCTTAATACGTGTTTTATCATACACATAGTAATAATAAAAATGAAATAATTAAAGAAACATTTCTCTATAAAAACGTGTATGAATGTACGTTTAATTACATTTAATTATATTTGTATGTATAACTGGCATGTACCGTAACTGGTAAATTACACAAGTTCGTCCTACCGCTTCCTGCGTGTCCTCATATACTTTAATACTGTTTACTTCTTATAGTTTGAAATTATACTGTTGACAAATAATATAATTATACTAGTTATACGTATGAACAATACAAAAGATATCTATTAATTGAAAAATCGGTATAGTACATCAGACGGGTAATTAACGACTCAGAAATCTCAGATTCGAATCTCACTATGGGAGCGTGTTTTTCAAATACAATATAATGTTAAATGGCTAATAAATAACATCTCAAACAAGATGATCACTCAACCTCTTTGAATTCGCTCGTATGTTCGCGATCACCGATTGATTCCAAATTGCCAAGAACAAAAATCACTATCGGAGCGGAGTTTTCGCTGCCCAAGGGAAAGATATCTCGAATTCAGGACGAACAGCGAATCGAAGAAGGTCACTAAATAGGCGCCGCTGTCCTTTGACCTTGCGAGAAGAGGTTTCAACGAGGAGAAACTATCGAGTGGCCGTGAGAAGTCAGAGAAATCGCGATTTATGGTGCTGCATTACTCCAGTGGGAAAATCGAAAATGCGCGTCAAGTCCCGGCGCGACTCAGCTGCATGTTTCCGACGTGCGCTGACGAACGTGTGAAAAATAGATATGTAAATGTCACGACATTGGCGCATTTACGTAAAGATGACGTACCGGACGGAGCCATTAATCGGTAAATGGAGCGTGTGGGAGATGTCTCACGCGAATCTAATCTTGCGGGAGGATAAGATTGAGATAATTTACGTGTCTCTTCGAGCCCCGGAGGCATCGTTTCGTTTATTGCAGCAATAATACCAACCAACCGGCTGATAATAAAGCGATCGTGTCGCCGCTTCTGGTAACTCGCGTGCGGGAGTGAAGCAACTTCGACAAGTGGAAGGTACGTGTTCCTCGACAGAACGCATTCCTTCGCAGTGAGTAAACCGAAAAGTCCATATTTTCAGTGTTCAAGCTTAACAATAGTGTTTCGCACGCCGCTCCGTCTCGCATTCAGCCGGTTTTTCATCGCTGTCATTGAAGCCGATCGTTTATCAACGGACACACCATCCGATGCAGCAAATCAACTGTTCCAACAAAGCCGGCGGGACGTTAATGCAAACGTATTAAGAAAATGTATTCGTTATTATGAACCGCAAGAGCAGTTGGCCATTCCGTTCGTCTTTTAGCTTGCACTGCGTGCCACTTCACGATGAACTTTCTTGTTCGAGATGTCATCGAGATATTTCACACGTGTTTTGTAACTTTATGTCTCGTATATCCGAAACCTTTCTCAGAGTCCATCACGAGAAGGGTCTCTGATATGTAACGCAGATTGAGCAATATTAACGGCAATTGATCCGGGATTGCATGTGGCTCGAGATGATTTTATCCTAGCAACGAAATGCTGATGAACGATCTAGAGATACCAGCACGGCGCGATTTTTATTTTATTTTTCCGCTGCGTTGACGCAACGTAATGGTGTCGGGTGAAAATTAGACAGTCGGCTTACATTAGCACATGCGTCGAAATGTCTTTCGTCACCTTGGAGACGTCTCGTCAATTGACTGCGCGAGTCGAAGCAATTTACATTCGCTAAATGCACGCGGTATCGATTGCATTCAGAAGCGGTGACGTCCGTGGTAATGCACGGGGAATACTAACAACGTTGCTGAGACGCGAATAACAACAATGCCGCGCGCCTACCGTAACGTCAACCTCGTTTGTTGCCTCGAGACTCAAGTAACAGAAAACCACTTGCGAACGATTGCCGTCAAACGGTAACTTAATCGACTCTAATGACAGCTTTCACGCAAGAAAAAACAATCCCGACATACACGTATGTCTATAAAAGGCATCTCGGAGATGTCTTTAGGATATCTTTAATATCACGAAATATTTGAAAGGTATCTGTGAGATTTTAATACAGTCATATGCAAATATTACAGAGATATCTTTTTCAATGAAATAATATGATATCGAATAATGATATCCTGCAGATACTCCATGAATATCTGAAAATAAGATATCTTAGGTCAACTTAAAATTGCCGGCATAAAGATATCTGATAATATCTCTCATACATTTCACTGTGTGGGTCAGTTATTAACTTTTGGCTTGGATCGACTTTGGGCCGGCTAGATACATTTCTACCCGACGGGTTTCTACCCAGTCGATTGTTTGGGTTTTAACACATCTGCATGTTCACACGAATGTTCTCCGTCACGGTAACGGAGATATAATTGCTCGTCACCGAGATTTCATTTCTCATTGTCGAGTTTTCATCCGGTTCAGATGCGGGAATCGAGTTTAGTTTCCGCGTACGAAACACTTAACGCCGTAATGATAAAAATAATTCAATTTGCGGAGGTAGTCGCAAGAGAGCTCAACGCCAGTAAGAGCTTAGGAGTGAGCGCCTAAATGCCACAGGGAACGACGCGCGTGTTTACTTTCGATTATTTTCGACGAGTTCGCGCGAACCACTTTGCACGGTTTTGCGAAGCGTGTCTAACGCGGAGGAGGAGGTAATTCAGAATCGGGAACGCGCGATATATCGTTGAATTATGCGCCGTAATAAGAGCCGCGTTTGCATGTGTGCGACGCGTATCTATACGTCAGACACGTATGAACGGATATAATAGCGTGAGGAAAAGGAATTCTAAGTATGGAGATCGGATCTATTCGGACTTGGAACGTTCGCGGTTGGCCCGAGAGACACACACAGGTATAATTAAAACGGCAAATAATTAACGCTAATCTCGGCCGTCTAACTCAGCCGGTGGGTTAGGTTGAATTTCTCCGGAACACCAACTCAAATCTCTCCTTTCTTCCGTTTACCGTGTGATTTCGTTCACGCGCGCGTATTCAACCTCCTCAGGAACATATTAAATTTTTATTTTTTTTTTATTATTAGATAATTATATTATTTATTTATTAAAATCGGAAGGAAACAACTTAATGTTACGATGAAACAAATATGACACCTGTCAATCATATGATTAGATTTCCCGTTTTCCCGCGGAATTTCGTTGTGAACGTTCATCCAGAACCTATGTTCATAGTATTTTGGTCGGAATTTGTAAGAAGAAGAATCGAATGTATCTAAAAGAAAAGGAAAGACACTAAAACGTGTGATAAATGTCACATCTTCAAAAGAATTTTCGAGCCCAAAAACAAAACAGTATGCCCGGTTTATTTCCCTACTTATTTATTGACATTGGAAGAAAAGTGACTTAATATTAAAATGACACAGATGTAACATCCGTCTAAGGAGACTTCCCGCGTTTTCTTGCGGAATTTCACCGTGAACGTTCATTCGTCGCCTCCATCGACGATATTTGAATTCAGATGGAAAAACTGAACGTATCTAAAGGGTAGCACACACATACGTGTGGGTATCCCTGAAAAGGTTAATGCAGCCATTGGTTTCATTTACAGTACCGGCGTACGTTCTAATCACAGCAGCTTCGATATGCAGGTCGCGGTAATAGCGGATTTCGAAGCAGCTCACGTGATATACCGTGTGTCGGCTATCCGCCGGACGGATTTCTTATCCGAGCTTGTGTCGCGTATGACGGAAGAGAACACGTGTAGGAGGCGCGGGTAAAATAATGCAATCTCGCGATCGACAGCCGCGTGATTTCCGCCGCGGCGCACGATTATCGGCGTAATTAGACGCGCACGAGCGTCATCGGCAGAAATGCGGAGGCGGCGATCCGCTTAAACCGCTGTCGCAAAAAACGTGATTTCGCGTGCCGTAACATTTCCTCGTGTAAGCTTCGCGAAAAGGAGGCGCGGAAGGAGACGAGCGATCGCACGGAGTAATTTCCTACGTAATTGAGAAAATGCAACGGCCTCGTTACGATGCTCGTCGATTTCTCGTAACGACTTCCCGCGCGTGCACGTTCCGATTTGGCGCTATGCTCTTTTATCGCGTTCTTCTCTCGCCGAGGGAATAATAATGCGGACGGTGACGCGTAGATATCGCGATCTACTTCCGGGCAGCGCAGCGAGCGATCGAGAGGAAGGTGTACGGCCTTTATTAATCGCGCGACTTAAGCATAATGTATACCTTACGTTTGTCTCAAGGGTAACGATCGATGGACGCGCTCGTCGTTCGCAATATCGTAGATTTACGTCTCGCTATTTAAATATATACTGTGCTGTGCTGTGTGCATTGAAAAAAAAAGTGTTACCGTTCAAGTAATATTTATTTGATCAAAGTAAAATAGTTGTTCCAATGCTCCTTGGAAAATATTCACTAGAAATAGAAGTATAATTGACTATATGGAATAATGACACGATGCCGAAAAAAAGAGGTAAGTAAATCATATGTTACATTTTATGGTAGTCTTGATTAGTCTTTTGTGTCAATTCAATTCCGTTATTCTACAAAACATGTATAATTTCACATCTACTTGGGGCTAGAAGGAGCCAATTAAATGAGGTAAAATGAGAATATTCCCATATTATCTTAATAATTCTCGGTAATTATTCAGTTTAGACGAGTTAGATCTAGCGGCTTCGACCTT